TTAGTGTGTGAATTTACTTCTGTATTCTCTATTCTTTTCCATTGGCCTGTATGTCTTTTTATGCCAATACTATGCTGTTTTGAATACGATATCTTTGCAGTATATTTTGAAGTCCAATAATGTGACAACTCCAGCTTTGTTCCTCTTGCTAAGGATTACTTTGGCTTTTCAAGATCTTTGTAGTTCCATACGAATTTTAGGATTGTTTTTTCTACTTCTGTGAAGAATTTCGTTGGTACTTTGATAAGGATTGCATTGAACCTATAGATGGCTTTTGGTAGTATGGCTATTTTCACAATATTAATTCTTCCAGTTCATGATCATGGGATGTCTTTCCATTTTTTGGTGTCATCTTTGATTTTTCATCAGTGTTTTATAGTTTTCCTGGGGAGATCTCTCACCTTCTGGTTAAATTTATTCCTAGGTCTTATTTTATTTTATTTGGTGGCTATTGTAATTGGGATTGCTTTCTTGATCTTTTTCTGCTAGTTTGTTGTAGATGTATAGAAATGCTATTGATTTTTATATGTTGATTTTGTACCCTGCATGAAATACCATAGAAAAGAATGAAGTACTGATACACGCTACATTATAGATAAGCCTTGAGAACATTATGCTAAGTGGAAGAAGTCAGACACAAAATCTCACATATTGTGTGAATCCACTTATATGAAATGTCTAGAATAGATAAATCAATAGAGACAGAATGCAGACTGATAGTTACTAGGAGCTGGTGGTGAAGGGTGGGGGTTGAAGGTTGGGAATGGAGAGAAACTGTATATGTTTTTGAACTAGATAACAGTGGTAGTGTGAATGTTCTAATTGCCACTGAATTGTTCACCTTAAAATGGTTAATTTTATGTTATGTAAATTTCATCTCAATAAATTAATTTTTAAAAAAATATGAGATGCTACTGTACCCACCAGAGTGGGTAACATTCAGAAGACTGTCATTCCAAGTGTTGTGAGGATTTGGAACAACTGGAACCCTCTTACATTGCAATCTTCCATTGTAAGAATATCACTAAAGCTAAGTATCTGCCATTCTCTGACCCAGCATTCCACTCCTAGCTATGTGCCCAAAAGAAGTAAACGTATTGCTACCCCAAAAGGCAGGTATAGGAAGGCTCTTAGCAGCTTTTATTCATAATAACTTAAAAGTATAAACAACTTAAATGCCCATTAAGGTAGAATGGATAAATTGTACTACATTCATGCATGGAATACTATTCAGAATGAACCACTGCTACACATATAAAGAAGATGAATTTCACAGAAATAGTGTTGGGTGAAAGAAGCAAGAACCCAAAGAGTGTGTTTATATTCTACTTATATGAGGTTCAAGTAGAAGCAAAACTAATATATGGTGATATATGTCAGAATAGCTTTTGCTGGAGGTGGTTATTGATGGCTCATGAGAGCTGTCTGGGATGCTGGAAATAAATTTTCTACATCTTGCTTTCAGTGGTGGTTACACAGGCATATACATATGTAATAAGCTGTGCTCTTAAGGTTTTGTACTTTATTGTATTTTACCTTCAAAAAATTTAAAACTCAAAATACATTTACCAGTGCAGGTGTTCTTGCAGGGAAGCCATAAAAGAGAATGTTTGTGATGCATAATGTTGTAGAATGCCTTGAGTGACAGTGAAATGGCAGAAATTTGGACTCTGTCCTATAACTCTGGTAAGTTTGAGGGACAGAAATGATGTAATGAAAGCAGATTTTTAGGAAAATGGATCCTTGGAAATATGCCTGGTGGACTGAGGGCTGGTCCACTAGTGAGGAGACTTGCAGTAGGACCTGAAAGAGGGCAATACTATTGAAAATGGAAGCTCTGAAGGAAGAGCAGTTGGAAAGGCTGACGACTGGTTGGGTATGGATAGCAAGAAGGGACTGCGCAGAGATGACTGAGGTTCCATACTGGATGGCTGGTCCAGAAATAAGAAAGTCAGGAAGAGAAATTGGTTTTGGAGTAAGAAGAGTAGTTTTTAAATGCTTTAGTTTTGAAGTCATAGCAGGGCCCCTTGAGACAACTGTGGGACTCAGAAGAACAATCAGGGCCAGGGAAAGAAATCTGAAAATTACCAATGTACAAATTATTTTGAGTAAATGAGATCCCTAAAAGAAAGAATATAACAGAGAAATTTCAGAAGGCCAGCTCTTAGAGAAGGGCGCGGTGGCTCAAGCCTGTAATCCCAGCACTTTGGGAGGCCGAGGCGGGTGGATCACGAGGTCGAGAGATCGAGACCATTCTGGTCAACATGGTGAAACCCCGTCTCTACTAAAAATACAAAAAACTAGCTGGGCGTGGTGGTGCGTGCCTGTAATCCCAGCTACTTAGGAGGCTGAGGCAGGAGAATTGCCTGAGCCCAGGAGGCGGAGGTTGCGGTGAGCCGAGATCGCGCCATTGCACTCCAGCCTGGGTAACAAGAGAGAAACTCCGTCTCAAAAAAAAAAAAAAGAAAGAAAATGGGATGAAGAGCAGGGATAATTGAGAGGATAGTCTTGGAGAAGACAGGAAGAAACAGGATCCGGAAGCAAAGACAGAGAACTTTGCCCTGGGCTGCTGTGAAGAACCCAGGTGCCTGCAATTAGATCACAAGAATTTGTCAGCATCTTCAGTGACTTACTCTTGCAGTGTTCTTAGTCCTCTGCGTAGGAACAGAGAGTGACCTAGGCTTGAAAATTAGTGTAGGTGTAGGAGCCAGCGAGTCCCATGTATTTGATCTCTTTGTGGGTTTCAGGCATAATCCTATTCACTGTGAAAGGGATACAAAAGAAGTTTAAGACTTACGGGAATTTATTCTGAAAGGTTCAATTCAGCAATGATTAAGTGCCAAAACAAGTTTATTTAGAGTGTTTTGCATCTTTTTCTGGCTGTGTAACTTTGGGCAAGCTACATTAATTTTCTGTGACTCTGTTTCTTTATCTGTTAAGTGGTGATAATAATATCTGCCTCATATGCTGCTCTGGAAATTGAACGAGTTTATATAAGCAGGGTGCCTGGAATAATGCTTGAAACATAGTGTGTGATAAATGTTAGCTAAGGTCATGGTGGAGTGCTGTAGGAGTGCAGAAGGGGAAATAATTAGTCAAGGCTGAGTTGGTGGGAGGACTCTGTGGAGGAGTAGGGATTTATTGGGGGCCAATCCAAGGATGGGTAGGAGAAGAATGAAGGAAAAGGAATTTTAGGTTGGGCAAAGCATTGTAAATAAACTCTTAGATCAGTAAAGCCGTTTCTATGTGATTTACTGACTAAATTAAGCCATTCCTTTTGGGGAGTAGTGGGAGATAGGAAAGGAGGATAGATAACTGATAATTATTATAATAAAATAAATTCTGAGATGGGGCACAGGAGCTTTTTGGTCATGATTTTTATACTGGCTGTGTGACTCAGGGCAAGTTGTCTGATCTCTTAGGATCCCAGTTTTCCTCACCTGAAATGAAATGGACTTGATTTGTAAAATGGCTTGCAGCTCTGAAATCCTTACATAATTCCTACATGGAAATGATTTCTCTGACCCCGCTGTCTGTAGGATGGTGGTGTCTTTCGCACAGTGTGAAGCCAACTGGTTACATGTGGGGCAAACTTGTGGTTCTGGCCTCTTTAGTCCTCTGCTATGAGTGAGTGGGTGGACCGGCCCTCACGTAGACACTACACACTGTCTTGCAACACTTAGCAATCATCACTGCTCCAGAGATCTGGGATCTAAGCAAGTGGATTTGTGGAAAGAGCTCTTGTGTATCTCATTCCCAAATTATTTAGAGTTAACTCTATTACTGTTCTCTAGAGGAGCCTCAAGGTTTAGTTGCCTTGAAGTGGACCTTGAGGACTAAGTAGGAGGGGAAAGAATAATCTTTAGCCTTAAAAAAAAAATAAATCCTGGATTGTACTTATGGTGCTAAAGAGAAAAAAGCAGTACCATGAGCAACCAATGAACTGCCAGCAAAGCCCTAAGCTTTTCACCGTAAACTTACCTGCTCAGATCATTTTGTGCCTGAAACTGAATACTGCTGCTTTCAAAACCAGGGATTGATTCCTCCATTTTACTTTGTGTGTTTAAATAATCCAGGACTCTTATAAACATAAATGGAAATGGGCTTTTCAAATACCATGCTTGGAAATCATTGCCTCTCGTAAGACATTACTTCAGTTTTCTTTTTAGAAGGGAATTTTTGTTTGTGACTCTGTTCATGCGACTCTGTCCTTCCTGGTTTGAGCCCCTCTCAGGAGTCGCACGCAGGCCCTTCTGCTGCTGCTCAGCCTGCAGTGCTGCAGTGCTGTTGCATCAGAGGAAGTTCTCTAGGATTCCACTCCCATTTGCTTTTTCTAGCTGGTAAGCAGGCGGCACTTAGAGCAGTATCTGCCCTCTAAGCTTGATTGTTAAAGAAGATACTTTTGGACTTTTACGCTGAATGGATTTTACACAACTTGATGATTGAAAAATAACTTGGAATGGAAGAACTAAAGCAGATGGAAGCTATTTTATCTATATTTTGTGTCTCCAAAGTTTGAAGGGTTTATTTTGTTTTCAGAAACTGAAATTTGAGAATGACAGTGTATCCTCGTATTGCCCTTGAAAGGAAGAGTTTTTCTTTGGGGAGCGGAGCTTTAGGAAAGGCAGGTAACTTGGACTATAAGGACTCCACAGCTATCATATGCCCCTGGGTAACGTTACATATGCCTTATTTGTTCAGAACAGAAGTTCCCTAAGGGAATGGAATATATCCTTTTTGTTGTATGTGGTTCCTAATAGTGAGTTGCATCTAAGTAAATATAATAAATACTAGCAATTCAGGAGACTCCTGATCTTTGATCTCCCATGACAGATCAGTTCATGCCATAGATTTCCTGAAAAGAAAAATAGCCATGCCGTGGAAGAAACTATGCATTTTTTGCAAAGGTTGTGAATTAAGGTTGAGAGTGAGATGGTTTAGTCTGGCCTCTTTTTAGAGCAGTGATTGATTAATGCTGTCTGTGTTGCTGTTTCTTCCAGAGCTGACCTGTCCTGGACGCAGCATAACTAACGAAGCTGCTGCAGGATGAGAAGATGGCAGCGCGGCTGCTCGCACCACCAGGCCCTGATAGTTTCAAGCCTTTCACCCCTGAGTCGCTGGCAAACATTGAAAGGCGCATTGCCGAGAGCAAGCTCAAGAAACCACCAAAGGCCGATGGCAGTCATCGGGAGGACGATGAGGACAGCAAGCCCAAGCCAAACAGTGACCTGGAAGCAGGGAAGAGTTTGCCTTTCATCTACGGGGACATCCCCCAAGGCCTGGTTGCAGTTCCCCTGGAGGACTTTGACCCATACTATTTGACGCAGAAAGTGAGTTGCAGGAGGAGGAGGAGCAGCTGCAGATACTGTTTCCTAACAGGCTTAGGGAGGTGGGGGAGAAAAACTGTGTCTCTGCCGAAGTTTGGATAAGTAGTGAACCTTTTGTTTCAGTTCTGGCTTACGGGGATTGTTTTTCATTTTAATTGCTCTGAGGGGTCATTTATGGTCTTGACACTTGTCAACTCTGTTAATAAGACTTCTGTTTTTGGCTCCTGGCCAGATCAGAAAAAGGGGACATAAAGGAAATGGGACCACTTAATAGAGCCTTCAAACAATGGGATAGTAAAAAACAGTACAGCCTTCCTCTCTCAAACACACATTCAAAATTCTATCTTTAATATAAAGATGATGTTACTATTGTGACATCAGTAGAGTAGTATGGTGGAGATGGTGTATTTGCTCTCTTGTCCAGCCCCCTTTGTGAATAAGCTGCTGGGGACAGGAGTAGAGCTGAATAAAGCAAAGTGGGCCAGTGAGGACAGACCCCGGGTCACTGGCCCTGTTACACAGTTGTCTGGATTGATTCTTGCAGCACTGATTCTTGCAGTACAGTCAATTCTGTTATTCCTGTAAGTAAAGAATGCAGGTGAAAGAACTACCAATCTTCATTTGGCTGAGAGTTTCAAACTTCTGAACAAATATTTGACTAAATCTTGAGCTTCTTTCTCGTGATTATCTTCTGAAACAAGGCAACAAGTAGAGAAACAAAGCCAGCTAAGTAATTGAATCTTGAGGGCTGGCATCAGACACCATTTTAGGGGGCCCCTCATTTGACAGATTTTTTTTTGTTGAGACAGAATCTTGCTCTGTCACCCAGGTTGGAGTGCAGTATCACAATCTCGACTCACTGCAACCTCTGCCTCCTGGGTTCAAGCAATTCTCCTGCCTCAGCCTCCCGAGTAGCTGGGATTACAGGCACCTGCCACCATGCCTGGCTAATTTTTGTATTTTTAGTAGAGTCAGGGTTTCACCATATTGGCCAGGCTGAAATTGAACTCCTGGCCTCAGATGATACGCCCGCCTCAGCCTCCCAAAGTGCGGAGATTGCAGGCATGAACCACCATGTCCAGCTTCACAGATATTTAAAGAATTAGACTGATAAATTTTTCCAGATGAAGGGGAAATGGCTTTGTATAATTATATACATACTGATATAAAGCTTATCTAAACTGGCTTTGTTAAAAACAAAACAACAACAAAAAACTGCCCTTAACTAGATTGCCTTTCAGTCTTTAAATTTTGGAAGAAATTTCTGCATCTTTGGCTTGATAATAGAATAGAAGTAAGATGAAGCCAGTAGATCTCTTGAGTAGCTGTAGTTGTAGAGGCATTTTTAGTTCAGGGTGACAAAAGCAGTTAAGACATTCTCTACACAAAATGGTCCTTTACCCATGTGCTTCTGTGTAGCTCAGAACAGCTACATAATAGAAAAAAGTAGAACCATTAGTTTATATCTTGCACTGGGAAATCTAGAAAGTTTAACAAACAAAATGATATGATGTAAAGAACAGTAGATTGAAAGTAAGAAATCCCAATTCTATCATAATTGACCATGTTTATTATTTACTTTTTTTCTTTTTGAGACAGAGTCTTGCACTGTCACCCCGACAGGAGTGCAGTGGTATGATCTCAGCTCACTGCAAACTGCCTCCCAGGTTCAAGCGATGCTGCTACCTCAGCCTCCAGAGTAGCTGGGACTACAGGCGTGTGTACCACCACACCCAGCTAATTTTTGTATTTTAGTAGAGAGGGGGTTTAACCATGTTGGCCAGGCTACTCTCAAACGCCTGACCTCAAGTGATTCACCTGTCTCAGCCTTCCAAAGTGCTGGGATTACAGGCATAAATCACTGTATCTGGCTTTATTATTTACATTTTTATTTTCTAGTAAATGTATTGTCTAAGCTACCACAGGTAATTTATGGAGAAATAAATGAAGAAAAAAAGACTTCTCAAAACCAATTTGTGACTTTTAGCAAGACACTTCACCTCTCTGGGCCTAAACTATTTTTCCAACTCAAATGCAAAGTAATTTCTCATTTTCTTTTTGATTTTGTTTTTTGTAGCTTTTTTTCCCTTTAACTTGTATTTTAAGTTCAGGGGTACATGTGCAGGATGTGCAGGTTTCTTACATAGGTAAACGTGTGCCATGGTGATTTGCTGCACAGATGATCCCATCACCTGGTTATTAAGCCCAGCATCCATTAACTATTCTTCCTGATGCTCTCCCTCCCTGATCCCATGCCTCTGACAGGCCCCAGTGTGTGTTGATCCCCGACATGTGTCCATGTGTTCTCATGATTCAGCTCCCACTTGTAAGTGAGAACATGTGGTTTTCTGTTCCTGTATTAGTTTGCTGAGGATAATGGCTTCCAGCTCTATCCATGTCCCTGCAAAGGATGTGATCTCATTTCTAATTTCTCATTTTCTTAAATCTGACAGGAGATATGAAAAAATATATAAAGCTATTAGCTGTTAGAGCCCAATTTTCCTTTGCATACTTTTTCCCCCTGGTTCCTGCCCTGTAGACAGCCTCTTTCCATTTCTAATGCCTCAGATTTCCATGGCTTAAGGGTGAGGACTTATGAAAGAGAGTGGGTCTCTGGACCTGATGAGTGTCATTCATTGGATAGGCCAAATTGATCTTATTGGTGCCCCATTAGGAGACTGGCTCTTCATGGTGGAAACTCTGACTTCAGTGTTTGGCTTCACCACAAGGGCAAATTGTTCCTGGAAAGGATAACTTTAATAGTATTTTCTTGGTTATCTTAAAAAACATATATACCACCATACAGAAAAGCTCATAAAATAGAAATTCATAGCATAATGACTTCAAACTAACACCATGTCAAGAAAGAACATTGCTAGCACTTTAGATGTGTTCATTGTACTTTGAAATGAAGGATATTTTACTTGATTAAAAATAATGTTCTTGCCCAAGTTTACTTGCAAATCGTTACCAGCAGTGCTGATACTTCTGTGGGGGTGGAAAAACTCCACCTGCATTCTCCTAGGGTCCCAGCTGGGTCTGAGAATTAAATTGACATAACACAGATTGACAGGAGAAAAGCATAATACATGCTTTATGTAGCACAGGAGCCCTCATAAAGAAATGAAGACCCAAAGAAGCAGTTAGAATCAGTTATTTATATGCTGGATTGGACAAAAAAAAATAGTAAATTGTGAAGAAGCAACTAAATTATGTTGTGAGGCTTAAAGGATAAGGCTTATTCTAACAAGGTCAGTACAGTATTCTCTTGGTCTCACCTTCTTGCCCTTGAAAATAAGGATGTTGCCTTTCCTTCGGGTTCAGGGAATGTCTTCCACACAGGAATTTCATCCTCCTCTCTTAAGAAACGGCAAGAAGGTCACAGTGATCTTTTTGCACCTGCTGTTATACAAATGTCTTTAACTTAGTCAATATGCCAGAATAACATATCTTAACCCCTTCACTTCATGCTAACTAGGCCTTGTGCTAAATTAGCAAGGTCTCTCTTACAAGGAAGCACACTGGGAATTAGCCCACAAATCAAAAAGTCGTAAGGGTAGAAATGACTTTAAGAGGACAGTCCTTTCCATCTGCTTTTCAAGGGCTGCCTTAAATAATTCTTGGCAAAGTAGAATCTCTTTTCTTTGCTAGATGATACTAATGGACTCCTTTATCTTTTCCTCATAGGTCTCACTTTCTAACTGATTAACTTTGTGACTTTCACAGAAACTTGTTTCTCATTTCCTTCCCTCTTTCTCCTAGTGGGTAAGAGAGAACTCATTTTCTGTTAGTAAAGTTCTGGTTTTATCTCGGATTTCCCACTCCCAAGGGACACAGGGCCCTAAAAGTTGTGTACCACATACTGTTACTTATTCCAGCTGATACTGGTTTGGCTATTCTAAGCTTCTCAGGTCCTTGCTGGATTTCACACTGACTTTTTCAGCAGTTTCCTGCAAGCAACCTGGATCATCCTCTCTTTGAATTGCTTCAGACTTCTCAGTGCTACTTTATGTTTTCTTTGTCTCTTGGTTCTTCGTTCTAATACTTCCTTTCTTTGGCTTTTTTTTTTTTTTTTTCAGCTATTTGTTACAAATGATTGTTTAAGGAACATTTAAATTTTTAAATTCAATTTTAAAATGGATAATGTATTTAAGTGGTTAAAAATTCAAAGGTACTTAGCAAATAAGTTTGCGTTTTACACCTGTCTCTCATCTACCTATTTCCTATCTCCCTGCACAGGCAACCACTGATAGTGGTATCTTCCAGAGTTTTGTGTATGGAAGCAAAAACAAATATGTGTTTTATGGAACTTGAACTCCATTAAAAACCTTTGTTCTTGGTTTTCTTCCTATTGTTTTCTTAAGCTTATTAAAGTCTTAATTTTGTTCTTTGTTTTTACTTTTTATTATTATTATTATTTTGGAGACAGAGTCTAACTCCAGGTTGGAGTGTGGTGATGAAATCATAGGTCTGCAGCCTCAACCTCCTGGGCAACCTCTACGTCTGCCTCCCAAGTAGCTGGGATCATACCCATGCACCACCACACCTGGCTAATTTTTGTATTTCCCCTACTTTTAAAAGATTTTTGTTTTTTGTGTTTTTTTTTTTAGTGAAAAATTAAGGACTTTTTCTCTATTGCTCAAAGTGCCTCTCTGTCTTTGCTTAAAAAAAAAAAAAAAAGATACTCTCCAATGCTTAATAATAACTTGTTGAATACAAAATGGCCGTATATATTCCTAATAACTATTTTAAGTAGACAGCTGGAAATCTGTAGGTTAAGCTGAAACAAGGCCTTCAGAATTGACCCCTATCCCTTTTCCCATTTCTTAGAACTGACAATTGATATACGCGTCTTTTTTGTTTAATGGGTATACCATGTTAAAAGAAAGTCATATAAACAAAAATTTAAATTACAAGTTTGATCAATGTGTTTTTAAATAGGGCACACTCCTATTGCATTAAAAAATGATATATGCTTCTTAAAGTTCAGTTTACCTTCAACT